TCTTGGAATAGATGCCACGAGGAGCTGCTTAGAGATTTTCAGGACGAGCTTCGCGAAACAGTTAAACTTTCACACCGAGACACCAATAAGGCGTTATGCGTCTACACCGACGCTTCTGATGCATTTTGGGCTGGCGTCGTGACACAGTGCCAACCCGGAGACCTGGACAAAAAAGTTGGAGAACAAAAGCACGAACCCCTAGCATTTTTGGGTACCCAAAAATGCTAGGGGTTCGTGCTTTTGCTGCACGTGCAGCTTTTAAGGGCGCCGAGGAGTGGTGGACGACCTTCGAGAAAGAAACATGGAAGTATGCAATATATCAGGTGTTTCAAAAGTAAGACTACTTATTCTTGTGTGAAGAAAAGACACATGTGCACACAGACCATCGGAACTTACTTTTCGTTTTTAATCCTCTTGCCCTAGACACCACACTTGGGAAGGCTTATTGTCAACAAGGTACAACGATGGGGACTATTCCTATCGCGATTTTCATGTGTAATCGAACACATTGAAGGGACAAACAATATCATGAAAAACATCCTAACCAGATGGTGCCGGGGTTACCGAGGAAAAGGACTGGCAGTGAAGCGCGTAACACATTTGCTTTTGGAACAAAATATATTAGAGTCGCCAATGGACAAAGATTTCGAGTGGCCTACATTACCACGATCCGGAGCTGTCAGGAAAATCACAAAAACGACAGAGCCAGTAGCGCTAACAGGGATGCCGAGGATGGTTTGTGGATGATTGCAGATACAGTATGGGTGCCTGATGCGGCAGCCGAGCTACAGCTGAAAGTTTTGGTCGTGACTCATTGCGGTGCCAACGGCCATAGATCAATCGAGTCCACGGTCAGTGTACTGAAGGGCTACTGTAGTTGGACGTCTATCAAGGAAGATTGTGCTGAGTTCGTCAAGAGTTGTATAAACTGCTTGACAGGCAAGACGGGGCACAAGATACCCCGCCCAATATCAAGTACGGTGCACGCCAGAAAGCCAAACGAGATCATACACTTTGACTTCTTGTACATGGGGCCAAGCACTGAGGACTACAAGTACGCCTTGGTCATCAGAGACGATTTGTCCTCATACGTGTGGATTTGCCCAGCCATAAATTCAGATGCGGAGACCACAGCACGTGAGCTTGGGAGGTGGATCAGAACGTGTAAAGTCATGAACGTGTGGGTTAGTGATCAAGGTTCACATTTCAAAAACAGAGTGAATGAACTCGCACACGATCACAACATCAAGCATCGATTTACTGTTGCCTACTCGCCGTGGGTCAATGGGACTGTTGAGAGATGTATGAAGACTATTCAGGAAGCGTACCGGTGTCCGCAGTCAGAACTCCAACTGGGGCCTCAAGATTGGCCTTGCGCAATCGGAATGATCATGATAGATCTTAATGAAACGCCGTTGAAAAGACTTGGCATAAGGGCCGACGGTGTATATCTCTCGCCGCTTGAAGTCATGACCGGCATCAAGCCGACACGCTTAGTAATTCACACAACATATCTTGCAGAAAATTGGCCACAAGTCCACAGTTTGGAGAAGAGCAAGACAATGCAACTGTTAGAGATCAACAAATTACAGAATGATTTTGACAACATGCACCGGGATGTAGAGCGCAGGGTTTCCTCTAATCGTGCAAAACAAATCCAACACCACGACAAGAATACAAACATCATCAGCACAAACTTCTGTGTTGGTGATTTCGTGCTCCTACGTCGAGCGCAGGATAAGGGTCATAAACAGTCTTTCCTCTGGATAGGTCCGCGCCGCGTAGCAAAGGTGGTCAGTGAAATCGTTTACGCAATTGAGAATTTGGTGACTCACCAAGTGGAGCAAGTACACGCCGCCCGGATGGTACTGTATCGCGCAAAAATGGATGGCAAGAAAGTTTCAGCTAAGTTGATGAAGCATGCTGAGCATAGCGAGGCAAGATTTGAGATGATTGAGAAGTTAATGGATATAACAGGTACAAGAAAAGAGGGGATCTGGATCCAAGTCCAGTGGCTTGGCCTTCCCGATAGGCGAGATTGGACTTGGCAGCCCCTAAAGGAACTGTTTGAGGACGTACCGGATATGGTAAGGGAGTTTCTGGACGCCACAAGAAGAATCGTGTCGCAAGAGAGGCAAAGGCAGAATTAGAGCTGCCCAAATGATGTCTTCGCTGCGCAAAGCCATGGGGCGATGTAGAATTATGTCAGCTCCAGCTCCGCCACAATGCTGGAGGAGAATAGCTGTCACTCGTGTACACCTGGACAGAACAGCACGCATGGAGAAGGGGGGAGACAGATGACCGACAGCCTGCATCCATGAGCAACAGTAGACCGGAGAGGCTGACACGAAATATCATGGAATGGGAGTAGAATAGAAAGAGAATAAAGTGCAGGAGCACGCGGAACCTCGGAAGATGAGGAACCGGACGTCGTTGTGTTGAGCAATTCTACGTTCTAACCCCTCACGTTTAGCTCTAGCTGCTTAGGCGTCTAAAAGCGGCCTCGATATAATTCGCACTCCTGAATCCCTAACCCGCATAACAGTAGAGGGTTCTTCTTGAAGCAAAAAAATTGCAACTTGATGCGTCCGATCCAGGCAACATGAAGATCCACCCTTCTACATACCTGCATATATGTACTTCGGGAGCATGGATTAATAACGGGCTTATGACTATGAAAAATGGAAAAATGAAGGCCTTCGCAACATGAGTCGCATCAGAATTTGCTCTAGAAGAATTTATTGGAGACTACATTCTTACTTGTTCGAACTGAACTTGCATAGAAGAATCTGATCCACTCCTCGCACTGTTTTCCGTGCGACCACGCTCTGTAAAAGGGATTTGTAATTTTAACTAACTCTCAGCTCCAAGAAGTTCCAGACCACTGGTAGATTCACACAACATGCATCATCTCAATCTCCGAAGCAATAGAATCACTTTTCCTAGGGCTAGTAGTAGTAGCTGCTGCAGCAGGAATACCCGGAATACCCGGAGCCGTAGTAGGGGTAGCCGAAGTTGCAGCCAGAGATGACATTGCAATAACCACTGCAGTACAGAGCAGCCTGTTGATAGGTGGCGTAACACCTGCAAGGACACCTTCCATACCCATAGTAGTAGTACTTGTACTTTTTGCGGTCGGTTGTTTGCAGTTCTGTTCCCACTTCTTCTTGAACGGGGAGATCATCCTTGATGGGCTTGCGCTCTGCTATATTCATTTCTGTTCCCACTTCCTGTTGAACGGGGAAATCATCTCTGATAGGCCTCTTGTCCACAGTGGCGGTGAATGCGACCGTGAATACGGCCAGGATTGTCAGGATAAAGAAGGTACCGGGACGAAACATGTTCATAGCGGCCACAGGTTATTAGAACTTTGATGCAAATCCGGCTGGTTTCCTGCTGCTGTTTCAGATGGTTCTGATGAGGTGGGGGGTAACGGAACGTGGGCGAGTGTTGAGGCGGGATTATATACCAACTGAAATTGATACGCAGTCTTTCAGTTTTACAGCTAAGGTCAAGAGGAATGCCCAAGGGCTATAAATCATCGGTTGCGCCGTCAGAGGATGCAGCCTGTGCAAAAGAAACTGTATGTCATATCACAAACAACCCCAGTTTGAATTTGTTTCGCGAAAGTGCTGATCTCAAGGTGGAGGTCGAAAAAAGGGAATGCTACTGGGGACGCTCCCTTGCAAAGCATCTACTTTGTGAATTTGCATGAACGATATGTTGTACAGCATAGTATTTGGAAGAGATCTCTTCTGAATTAGATGTTCTCCTGATCTTTTCAGGATACAAGCCTCATGCGCATAGCGTCTAGCTGGCGGTAAGAAAACCATGGATGGCCTTTTCTGCTTTCACTGGCGACGTCGTGTGGAGCCTAGCATCACAAGCCTCCTCTCCTACGCTATCTTTTAATGCCATGCTGTTCAAAAAACTGATTTCTATGAACTCCACGCACTCAGACACGTTCCTAAGTAGGGCACCCAAAGCGCCTGTATCACCGACCATTCTCGTAATCTCCCTCTTCCACAAACTACTCGACAATTCTCGCCAAACATGAACATGGTCGTGTTTTTCTTTCTACTTTAGGAAGACAGAATGCTTAAGAATAGACAAGGTGAACTGCTTGCCACCAACGAATAGAACAGGAGGAGAGCTGCTTACGACGTTTTAGAAGTTGGACAAAATTGAATCTAAGCCGTCTATGGTCACTCGGCTATGATTGAAATCTGGTGCTTAAATTTTGAATGCTGTCGGGTGATCGCGATGTGGAAAAACAACAACACAGTTCTGTATATCTTGAAATTCCGACTAAAGGCGAAGTCCTGTCAAACCTGTCTCTCTCTCTCTCTCTCTCTCTCTCTCTCTCTCTCTCTCTCTGCAGCGAGATGTGTTGACGTGAGGCGGTAGAAAAACTCAAACTATAAGGGGGGACTTGTTAAATGAAAAGTATGTATATTGCAATACTTCCGAAGTAACTTCCCAGCCGGTAAAATTCTCCGAAACAAAAAGAGCGACCTTCCATTTTACCTTTCCATACCATAAGACGAAAAAGGACGGGGTGTGAACAGAACATGAACTGCGTTCAACACGGCAACAGGAGGAGGGTGATATGAGGAAAGATTTGAACATCTGGCACCCACTCATCCCCTCGGCCCCTCACCGGCCCACTTCCCTAATCTCTTGAGAGATGTTTTTTCATGGTGCTTCAACACTGTATTGATCCACCGCCTTCCCTTTAACCACCACTGCAACCACCACATGACGAACATGCATATTGAAACAGTCAGAATAGCCTAAATCACTACGGCAGCAACATGCTTCCTCCGGTGTGTCATTTGCTGAGAAGTCAGTTCAGTCACTCTCGAATCAAAGGCCCGGAATCGTATCGCGAGGTCTAGCACTGGCGGAAGCAAGGGTTGTATCATTTGGTCCCAAGCAACGATGGGAATGGAAGACGCCAATGCCGTCCAGCCATGTGCTGACTACATTCCCACTTCACTGCAGACTTCAACACTGCAGTATTTTTTCCTTCTGAAGATACGGAGCACCACTTCACAGCCGCAAATATTATAAAGGCCAAGGGGTTGTCGGGATGGTTTGTAGGAGTCTACATTGTCTTGGGAATACACGAAGCAAACATGCAAGCAGACCTGGGGCCCGTCCGAATTAGGCATCTCTCCATGCGCTGTCCCAAAACTGCTTTTATAAGAATCTGACCTCGCCCCTGTCTTTCTGGGACATTCAACTGGTGCGCATCTCAAAGTAATAGGCATGCATACAGTACTTGTATTATATTCGCTTTTTTTCTAGAAACTGAGAAACCGGGGCGTGGCACCCCCTCGACCCCTGCGCATATGCGTAGGAGTGGAAAAGGATGTGTGGACATCATCGCTTCAAGGAAAAGCATAGCACAACGACAAGCCCTTGTAGCTCCAACGAAGCACAGTACTCTATGCCCAATCACAGCAGATTTTCAGTTAGGTTTCAAACCCTCTGCGGTTCTCGCGACACAAATCTACCTTTCCCACGCCGATGGCAACGGACCATCGGCCCATCTAGTTTGTTTGAAAGGGGAGCAGGAAGTCGCAACGCGGCATAGGCAGTGCGTCTACTTTGTACGCAAAATGGAATGGCCCATGTGGTGACGAGTAACACTGCGTAGACAGGCAAGGAGAGCGCATTCGTTCCGTCGGAATGGCGAGTGGGACAGTTCGCAAGACTTTGTCGCCGAACTTCAGAAGGCAAGTGAACAAGTAGCACTGTAGAGACGCGATACAGTATCAATGAGGGGTGAGCGTCGCAGGGCACGCACGCGTAGGTGCGGCAGGCATGTGCGCCTCCGGACGTATTGCCGTGACACGGTGGCGGATCTGGCTCGTTTCCTCGCCCTAGCATACTGTAGAAGGCCGAAGATGATTGCCAGTTACTGTAATCCTGCTTGCATAGGAAGAGTTCTCAAAGTGAGCGAGATTTTGCAGTTGACTGAACCCGTAAGACGGAGCTTCTATTGATGTCAACGGCGTTCCGGCGTATCATGGCTGTGGCACGTGCGAAAATCACGACAACAATTTACCAGTGTGCCATGGATTTAGACTGATTTGACAATTCGTAAAATACTCAGAGCGGTTTGAATAACATTTTGGGGAAGGGTAGCATGGCAATTGTAGATGGCCGTTAGGACCGCTCCCGGGCACAAATTGTCTGCAGCGTCTGGAAGAGGTAGTTGTATTCGAGGTTGCGAAGAAATGGGACAAGTCAAATCTGTTGACAGCAAATGGGGTGATACGCGTTGCATGAAAGGCCTCATATTGGGGCTGTGTCGCTGGCGAAACTGTGTAATGAACGTGTTTTCACGAGAAAGTAATCACGTCTATGAATAATAAGGTATTGCGATGGAATATGTAGGTAGTACTCTGTACCTCAATTCTACAGCGATTATGATTGTGAGAGAAGTCCCTTGCATTTTTCGCATCATGGCAATAGCGAATCGATTTTCAGGGCTGTTCTCTTCCCTATTCACGGTTTTCAATCAATGCTCCAAGATGCCTCGTCATGAACAATCCTCTCCTGCGAGACTTGGCTAATTGTTAAAAGATCATCCAAACGCCTTACTTGCACCAACACGTCATCCTCAGCCGTAGCTCATCCGCAGCCTCCCTGCAAAGATATTTCCAAAGTATTGGACAGACCGCCAGAGCGTATCCTTACTGCGAAGTGGATTTTTCGCTATTGTTGCTTGCCACTTTCGATGCGTGTCTCACTTTCTTTTGACAGAGTGCAATGCCCGCCTCCGTCTCCTGGCCAGGAAGGGGCCCGTTTTGCATAGATGAGAAATGGTGACTTCTAACGAATCTGTTGATTGATTATGGAATTGATTAGGAGTCCGGTGGAATCAAGCTTGTTGCTGCAAACACACTGTACTACAGTCGATCTGCATTCAGTGACATTGTGTCGGTTTAGAAAGTGATACTGACCGAATCACATCTCGGCACTGGGGCGCTGCTTTTAAATTTCTTGTACTCAACAAACATTTTGCATTATATGTTGTGACAGTTGAAGCAACGAACGTTTCAGAGCATATTGCCATGTGGCTTTTGACTGATCTGTCGTTTTTTTGTCTTGAAATGGTCCTGAAACTACTCCATGCTCTCAGAGATCATCCATTTTTTATGCTAACCTTCCAAATTAACCGTGACTCTTTCATGTGGTATTCTATGGATCTCGAGTCGAGTTAGGAGTTAAAAAACTCGATTACAATTCGCACAAGGGTGCGAGTTAGTGGAAGCAAGTAAATCGAGTTATCGTTTTTGCAAAGATGAAAGAAAAAGCATTGGCATCATGTATCTGGTGTTGCCGGAACACTGTAACGGTACGATACAGAACTATGACGTGAGATGCTCATTTTGCCAATTGTGGCAGACTGCAATTCTAACAGCGGCGTTAAGTATCTAGGTGACAAACTGTCTCAGATGAGGTCATCTGATATAAGGCCACTTTTCACTGCAAACAAAGAAACAGTTAAGACTACTTTTTCCAGTAGCTCTTCCTTCTGCCCGCTTTATCGCTGAGTTGAAAAGCTATGCCCTACAGTTTTTTCTTCAAGGTGAGTTGGATTCACCCTAATAACTGCTTCCACTATCGTGGAAGAGTGAGAATGCTGTTGAGTTCTCTTCTCACAAATTATAGTTTTGCGGAAGCCACGCTATATTCTCACCCTCAGGGTGTTTAGAGGCCCTCCTGATATTCACAAGATATGAAAGATTGCTTGGTTCTGGTACAAGCGCACATATATAGACGTGAATGCGTTGGCAATAAATCTGTTGAACTAAATGTTTGAATTAATGCATGTGGTACTGATGCTAGTGTTTATCGGACCGTTAGTCCTCATATGAGGACAAAAGTTCTTTTATTTTTTGTAGACAAAGCAAAGAGGGATTTAACGTGCGTTTTTTGAAAATAGAAGGCTATCACCACAGCTAAAGCATCTGCTCGTCAATTTTAGCGAAAACCAACTCGTTGACGCACAAAAAGATGTTCAAAAGAAAAAGTCGGATTACAGGAAGCATTTTTCTTTAAGCTAATTGCACATCAGTACCATAGAAACAATGCGTAGAGTGCTTTCTATTCGGTTCTAACTTCAGAAAAGTTGTAAAACGAGTCAACCTACCAGAGCAAAATAGAAACCGTGGGCGTCAAAGTTGAAAAGAAATAAAATTCGCAGATTTTTATGTTATGATGACGCGTGGTCGGATAGAAACTAGAGTACTGTACAGTATTAGACCTCATTGGAGGTAACGGCTGACCTGAGCCTGAGGTCGAACGAAGGTGGTCCTGACGCACTACGGTAGATGTGTAGTGAAACACGGCTCCTTGCACGGTACCCTTCTCAAAACAGGTCCGACCTGTGCGTTTCCACATACAGCACTGTACTGTTGCGCTTCAGTACACGTGTCGGAAGCTCTCTGAAAGGGCGGCAATGCCTGCGAAAGGAAATAAGCGCGGTCACGGACGAGCACCGGCCAACGGGGGAATTGCGCCTGGAAGTAGGGAGCGGAGCCGCGGGGGAGGACGCGAAGAGAAAGGGCGGGGACTGTGCGAAGGGGAAAAGGGGCGCAGGGGGGTCATGTGTGGGGCCAGGGGGTCGCGGGGGATGGGAGACGGAGCGGGGGAGACAGCGTTCCGAGCGCTTGAGGTGGCGAGAGGGCGCAGAGTAGGTAGCATAAAAGGAACCCGCGGCGGCAGGGGGGACGAGAAAAAGGAGAAGGGCGTCAAGGGGATTGGAGAGGCCGAGATCAGGTGGATTCCTGAGAAGTCGAGTGGATTCTCGACGAGCGGAGGCTTGCACCGGGTGGATTCCCGCCAACAGCCTCTGGCCAGCAAATAAAACTTGATTTGACGGTGCCCAAGGGACCGGGCACAACAATACGGTATTTAGTGAGATGTTTCTGTCGCACAGCACTGCATCGCTGCCTCGTTGTGACAAAGCAACAGTCGTGAAGCATTCAATTGTACATACCTTTCCGGAATGGTTCTAAACCAACTCTCGCGGATACGCTGGCGTCTGCTGGAGAGGGATTGACTAGAAGGCGTTAAGTTTTGTCCGCCAACCTTTCAGGTTTTGCAACACGCTCTTCTCTATCATGGCCTCTAGCATGCATGCAGGTCACACGCCCCAGCCGGCTGGCAGTGAAACCACGGCGTCGTCCGGCCTGCTTGCCAGCAAAGAAGGCGACACTTTACGCCGCCTAGACCGCGGAAAATACGTCCCCCTCGACCGCTCGGTGTCTTTGGTGCGCTCCACCATCAGCATCGCTTTTTCTCACGACGGCAGGTATTTTGCTTCTACTCATGGCGATCATTCCGTCAAGGTCTTCCGCTACCCCTCAGGAGAGCAAATCGCATGCCTCGATGGCCACCCGTGCACCCCGTGGACCGTTCGTTTCCATCCAAAAGATTCCTCCATCCTAGCCTCGGGCTGCTTGGGTTGCGAGTGTCGCGTCTGGGACGTTTCTCAAGGCGAATGCATCAGGAAGCACACTTTTGCTTCCAGCATTTCTTGTGTCAGTTTCAATCCAGACGGCAGCTTGCTCGCTATTACGTCAGGTAGCAACTTGCTGCTTTGGAACTATATGGAGGCCGCGCCGAACAACTCTCGCTCCACGAGCTCCGCTATCGACGACATCCGCGGCCCGGGGGTTCCTCGAAAATTGCTTGGCGGTGTGAACCCTTTTCACATGGTCGACTTTCATCCGTCAGGCACCATGCTCATGACGGGAGAGAAGAATAGGTCTCCCCCGCCACCGACGGGCGCCCCGTCTAATCAAGAGGAGCAGTTCACTCTCAAGCTCGTTATCCACCGCTTTGATCGTCGCATTGTGAAGAAATTTGATGATCCTGTGCTAGAGGTTCCTCGTGCGGTGGCGTACAATGATGCAGGCATCCATTTTTCTCCCTGCGGTACCATGCTGGCGGCTTGCATACCCGTGCACGAGCATAGCGATTCCTTTAAGATTGCGGTCATGTCACTTGTCAAGCGCAATCAGATCAAGATCGGCACGGTCATGTACGAGACGGCTCTGGATAGAGGGCATGTCACTGCTTTGACCAATCTCAAGTTCTCATCCACGTCACATCACTTGCTGGCCGGCTTTTCGTTTCGGCCGAAGAATCCAGTCCTTCGTGGGCACGCAGAACACTATGATCAGACAGCTGGACGGGGTGCCGATGGTGGCATGCGCCGTCCTAATCAAGTAGGCGTAGTAGATATATACAATGTGAGTGAGAAGTTTGAAATGATCCGAAGCTTGCGCGCAGACATGGATCTCACAGAAGGTCAAGAAGGGGGGGCTGAGGATGAGATTAACGTGGCAGTATTTGCGCCTGTGTTTGGCATTGCGGACGGAGTTGTGTACGGTACTCAAAAGGGACGTATCCGCGTGTTTCAGCAGGCTACTGGTGCTGATATGGAGGCAGAGCCTTTAGACGAAGACGTGGCAATCCCATATGGTGCGCTTCTTTTCCCAATCCGCAATGGAAAGCGATTCCCTTGACACGTTCATCCATGAAACACCTTTCTGCGGAGACAACAGGATGCTTGACTGCGTAATTCTGCTAAACCGCTGGCTCTTCATCACCTTTGCAGCAGCTGTTGGGCCGCTTCTTCACATGTTTGGGAATCACTCTTAGTCTTATTTCACCTTGTACGGGACAGGACAGCGCAAGACTGAGCTGATGTAACATGTCCTTGTTACACGTCAACATACCCAACTTTGGGAATCCACTCGTCGTTTCTGCGGAAACTGCGTCTTCCTCTGATTGATCCTGTTGATCGATGCCCCCACTCTAGCTTGGCGTCCTCCACGGTACTGGGGTGCAGATCTCCCCGCGCTTCCCTGACTCCTTTCGTTTCCTTTGCAGACTTGATTCTCCCTTAGACGATACGCTTCGCGCCGTACTCCTTCGCGTCGTACTGTTTGGCATGTGTGATCACGGAGTCCGATGACCTCCTCTCTTTTCCTAGTCGTCGGCTCTACTTACGGTACATAACATTATAGGCCTCCCTAATGGCAGCCTGTCCTGTGTGGTCAAACATGGCATATGGCGGAAACAAGGATACTGTAGCCTGGTAACAGCTCTGACTAGGGCTATGCTACATTGGCGGGAACTCCACATCAAATCTCTAGATGCGGTTTTATTGGCTGGTTCAAAGTGAGATTTTGAACACGGCCATCCAAAACATTCGCATTTCTCTTTTTTCAATTTCAAACTCCCGCCAGAATTCTCCATTGCGCTCAGCCCCGCCATCAGACAGCATCACGCACCACCTCACCCTCCCTCCCCCCCGCCCACCCACAGACATTATTCCCAGCCGTTACTCTCAACGGCAACCTCTCCATCTCCCCCCGCCCACCGTCCCCGCCCGAAGCCGATGATTCTGCGGTACCGGCCATGTCGGGTACCTCACATGCCCTTCTCCGTCGAAAAGTTGAAGCTTTGCAGCGTGCATCATCACCGGTAAAGCCCTCTTCCAAGCCCCAGCCAGATTGGTATGCCGATCTCACTGCAGCCACGAAGGTCATTCAGCCATTCTCTCTCAGCCCCTCCATCCTCCGTCACCGTGCAGATCTCCTCCTTGCCCTAAAAGCAGCTCCTCATCAACCCGGCAACTGGCGAGCATACCTCGCCATTCTTAACGATGACCGCAAAGAGTTCATGCGAAATCACTCGCAGGACGCGGCGAAACGCATCTCTATGCTCCATGCTCTCCAAACCCTCTACGAACGAGCCACCACCATCGTTCCGATGACCGCTGCCAACAGACACACCCCCGTCTATACTCAGCTCTGGTTGGATTTGGCCGCCTTGAGAGCTGAGGACGACCCCGACGATGCAAACCTCATCTTCAAGAGGCTCAAAACTCACCGCATCGGCCAGTCCCTCCCGCTTTTCTGGAATGCCTGGGCAGACCTTGAACTCAAGCAGAAGAACCACGACCGTGCTGCTCGCTTTCGCCACGAGGCCGCGGCGTGTGCCAGTCTTTCTCCTTTTCCCACCCCGCGTCCGACTGCTGAGAAAACTCCTGGAGACGCGAGTGAGCGACGCCGCGCCCGGAACCTTTCTCGACTGCGCGCCCGTGAAAATATTCGCAACCGGCCTGCGAAGCGCGCTTCGGAGCTCGCAATAGACACGTCCACTGCGCCCACAACAACTCGCCAGGCCGCGTCTAGAGAAGCGACGCTAGAGTCAATGCATAGTCTCGGTCATGCACCTCGAGGCGTAAGTAATGCGGTCAGAGAGCATCGTGAACCGGTTCACATGTCAGACGAGGAAAAAAAGCGAGACCTTGGTCAGGGAAGAGCCAGTTGCATTGCGGGAATCCCCCCTGTTCAACAGGATGTCAACTCTTCGGCCATTCGCGGTCTGCCGGGCGGGATTCGTTCTCCTGAAGTTCTTCGAAGTCAGGCCAAGCAAGAACCACGCGTGCCGGCTCTTTTAGAAGACGAAAGTTTTTTGGATCAAATGCACTTTCCAGGAGCTGAGAAAAGGGCGGACAAACCAAGCTTTGTGGAAAAAGAAAGCCCGGAGAGTATCCAGAGTGTTCACACTGCGTCCCGCTATGACGCAGGAGAACAGAGGTTCGGCGAAAATGCTAAAAGCCCTCACCCTGATCTGCCAAACATCAGTCGTAGTGGTTTTGGGGATGTAGAAAAGGATCGCTCTGGTCATTTAAGTGGAATTCTGGAGAGGGATGAGCAGCGAGATGGTGAGGAAATATACCACCGTGATCCTGCGAAGACATCTGAAAATAAGAACTTCGGCGGCATGTCAAGCAGATCTGGATTCTCCAGCAATAGGGTTGGTAGATCCCGGGGGGTAGGCCAGTTGCAAGCGCACGATGTCCATTACAAGGGCCTTGACAATTTTTCCGAAACTGGCAGTCGTCCGCCAACTGGAAACTTAGATCGTCGAATGCAGTCAAGAAGGGAACGCGCCAGCGGTACGGATGTCCGGGCAACTACAAATGCCGGAAACTCGCAGTCCTTGAACTGCAGCCTCGATAGGGGCAGTTACTTTTCCCATTCGAAGGGTTCTGGTGATGGCCATCTATCACCCGAATCGCCCACAGTTGATGCTTCGAAGAATACAACTGCACGGCAACTAAATTCGAACGAGCAGGTACCCGAAGAGAACTGGTCTCTTTGGGGTATGTTAAGCGGACCTAAACCTGAAAGCGTGATCACAGTGAACAGAAGGCAGTATGTGATTCTGAGCGAGGCTGGAAGGGGTGGCAGCTCGAAAGTTTTCAAAGTTCTCAATCAGGATATGGAAGTGCTGGCCATAAAGCGCGTGAAGGTCCCCGCCTCGTCGCATTTTCGAACAACTCTTGGTTCTTACGCAAACGAAATAGCGTTGCTCAAGCAACTTCGAGGTTCTCCATCAATCATCCAACTCCTCGATGCGGAAGTTCAGTACGAGTGTGGAACCATCAAGATGGTAATGGAGTACGGGGACACTGACCTAGCGAAAATCCTACTCCGCAAGAAGAGTAGGAGTATTGACGATCACTTTACGAGGGGTCACTGGCTGCAAATGCTCAAGGCTGTGCACACCATTCACGAGGCTAAAATCATTCATGGAGATTTGAAACCGGCAAACTTCTTGGTCGTCCGAGGAGAGTTGAAGTTAATAGATTTTGGGATTGCGAAAGCCATCACTAGCGACGACACGACAAAAGTTTTTCGGGAAGCTCAGGTAGGGACTCCCAACTACATGTCCCCGGAGGCCTTAGTGAACGACTACGACCATCCAGATCCTAGAACATGGAATGAGGACGGCTCTGACTCAGAAACTGATTTGCATTCAGCAAGATACCGAGTGGGGCGTGCAAGCGATATCTGGAGTTTAGGTTGCATCTTGTATCAAATGCTGTGTGGAAGAGCGCCATTCGCCCATATCAAAAACACTCTTCAGAAGCTGAACTGCATTCAGGATCCAAAGTACGAAATCTCATACCGTCATGTAACCGACCCTGTTGCGCTTCAAGTGCTCCACGGATGCCTGCAACGCGATCCGCAAAATCGTATGTCCATTCCAGACCTTATGGAACATCCCTTCGTTTGCCTTAGCCACGATCGCAACGTAAGACGGGCAAATGGCAGCATGAAAAGCGCGAGCATCTCAGAGGAAGATTTGCTCGCTGTGACCATGGATTTTCTGGACATTGTGAAAAGAGAAGCGGTTCCACGTTGCTCTCTTCTTTCCACTGTGATAGATGATAGCGACCTGGCACATGGGAGCAATATCGTGAAAGCCTTAATCCCCTGTCTTCTGAAAAGGCTCGGAAAGCTATCGTCCTCAGCGACACCAGCTCCGACTGTGACGGGAAAAAGTAACTATCAGAACCAGTCCTGGAAAGGAGGCGCTACCCCGACGACATCAGTTGTCACTCCCTCGGGAGCGCACACTGTGCTCAGAGGAGCAGGGATGGCCCAGAATATACGGTAGCACCAGAATTAATTTTAGAATGCAGAACGCAAATAGCAACCGACTACTTCTCGAAACAAGATGAATGTGGATGCGAGTCACTTTGTTCGAGGGACGAGCCGCTGTAGAACAGACAATAGAACGAAAACAGTGCCGGAGTAAAGAACCGGATTTTCGCAATGACGGCGTATTTCTTCTCATGGTATTTGCACGGGATACATGAACGCTAAGCCCGGGCTTGCTTTTTCGTTTCTTCTTTATTAGCATCGAAAAAACGCGAGTTAGGAAGTGAGGTGTACAAACGTAGAGGAAATGCTAGGCCCGATGCGAGGAGAGACCGAGCCATCGCAACTGAATAGGTGACGACTATTGCTCCTATGCTCACTAACTTCACATCTCAGACTTAAAGGGAGAGTACGGTCAGGCGCCGATTTTGACAATATCCTCATCCACAGAATCAGCGTCAGGCTTCACAAAGTATACCGCCGACGACGCACTTGTGAGTCTTGATTAAAAATGCGCGAAAGCTGCAAGTCATGTACAAAAGCTCTGTGCAGCCGAAACGGAACGCGATTCACCCGACCGAACCCCCTTGGCCCTTCACCGCAGCTCAGCTCTCGCATTCTCCGCTCACAAGGCCCTTAGCACCTCTACTTCTTACCGTAACATAAATAGTACATGCCCGCGACCATACCCATCCCCCCGACGATATTCCCGAGCGTAACCGGCCACAGATTGGCCATCAGAAACGTCTTCCAGCCCACATCGGCTCCCAGCGCCATTCCCATGGGCACGAGGAACATATTCGCGACCGAGTGATCAAGGCCCATAGTGACGAAAGCCGAGACGGGCAAGAAGACGGCCAGAAACTTGCTGCCAAAGCCGCTGGCGGCGTTGCTCAAATACACGCCCAGACAGACGAGCCAGTTGCACAGCAGCCCCCTGACAAAGGCCCTGGCGAAGGGCATGCTGACCTTTGCGGTGGCGGTGGCGACGGCGACGGCGACGCTGGGGGGCGTGAGGCAGGCGGCGGCGACGGCGAGGCGGACGATGAGCAGGCAGCCGAGGAAGTTGCCGACGAAGGCGACGGCCCAGTTGAGCGCGAGGGCGGGCCAGCGGGCCTTGCCTGCGAGCGCGGCGGCGCCGACGAGGAGGGTGTTGCCGGTGAAGAGCTCGCCGCCGGCCGTGACGACGAGGGTCAGGCCGAGCGGGAGGCCGACGGCGCCGAAGAGGAACTTGGCCAGGCCCGGGTTGGCCGCGGCCAGGCCCGGGCTGGCGCCGCCCACCGAGAGGGCGAGGAGGGCGCCCAGCGAGATGTAGGCGCCGGCCAGCACGGCGAGGAGGAAGACCTTGGCGAGCGGGGTGGCGGCCTTGGAGGCGCCCAGCGTGGTGGCGGCGGCGAAGGCGGCCGGCGGGGACTTTTGCGAGGGCGG